TCACGATGTTTAACAATATGAGTTATTATTTTGATTAATTAGAATCGATAAATTAAAAATACTCCTTCATAGTTTATCATCATTTCACACTTGTCGTCCCAAATTGACATCTAACAATTTGTCAATGCAACACATATGACGGAAAGTATCACGTGGTATGATAAAAACAAACTTGTTCATTTAATATGAAACTATAATCCCTATGTCAATATGATTCGATCAATTGCAAGATATGGAAGTGTGTCAATGGGGGGAAGGGATCTCTTTTCTGCAACGAAAAAAAAAATCTTTCATCATACTCTTAAGTTAATATAAATCGAAAACTCTTTTTCGACTTATGAGCACATCTTGACTAAGAATTTTGTTATTAACTTAATCTCTTACAATTTAAGAGTAACGAATCCTCTATTGATCATTCACAACCTTTATATGATTCTTAACATAACCGAACGATGTCATATTAACGGCTATTGGCAAAGCAACATCCAATATCAACAAACAACGACTTCCCCATAAACACTATGATGACCTCAAGTCGAACGACTAATTCCACTATTGAACGATAAAGATTAGTCATTGACACTCTCAACGGGTCTCCAATGTGTCCATTTAAATGTTACTATATTTTAGCCTTTTAGATCAGTTACTCACTTTACAAGTGAGAAATGCCACACATGCTAGTCTAACCGCAATAACAATATCCGTATTTTATTATTACTTACGACAATGGATAATTTTATATTCATATGTTATTTGTTTCTTACTATTAGAAATCCCTATGATTAACAAGTTACTAGCAGTTGAATCTACGTATTCTATTAATAAAACTTATCAAAATAGTAATTCAAATAAATAATATATCATGACATAAATAAAATGTATTAATCATATTCAAAGTGTGGACGTCCAAGATTGATTGGAATTATGGCATAGCACTTACAGTCACCATTCTCATGCATTATCCTATATATCTTTCTACGCAAATTTGCATTCCTGTCTTTTGGTTTTATTGGGAGTTACATAGAAGTTGTGTAAGGTGGAGAGGTTAAATTTCAAATTCAAACCTCGACTTCTCCCTCCAAACTTATTTCTAGGGGTGAATACAGTTCGATTTGGATGGTTTATGAAAACTTTTCAAATCAAATCTCTTAAAGCTATTTGAAAAAAATTCAAACCAAACCAAACCACTTCAATTTCTAAACCAAACCAATCCAAACTACATTTTTTCGGTCTGGTTTAAAACCACAGTTTTACACACAAAAAAATATCGAATAAGTTAAATCATAAATATTAGTTAAACTTTCACGTTAAAACATAAATAGTAACATTAAAAATATTACAAGCCAAAGTTCTATAATTATAATAATTTAATAATTATAAAGCAACAATATGATAGAAATATTTTAATCCCTTAATCAATACTAATTGGCGCAACATCTGCAATTGTAATACAAAATTCATTATCTCCATACAGTGCTTGAATTCATTGGTTATAGTTAAATGGTATAAAATAACTAATAAAAGAAAATGAATAGAAAGTTCAAATATGATAATACATTCGATAACTTTCTGGGAATCACCCAGTACTTCTACCTCGTCCAAATATTGACGAATTACTATATATTTCTTGTCACCANTTTCATGCAATTTGAGGGTTTTGTATTTACAGTTGTGATGACTAATGTGTATGTGTATTATTTAAGTAATTAAATAGGATGAATAATTGTATATTTGGGTATTGAGTTCAATTGGATTATATATTATATGTGTGCATGTTTTTAATTGGAATGTGTTTAATTTTAATTAGGTGGGATAAAATTTAAATTAATTTATCCTTTTATTAATTGGAATGTGTGCAATCTTTTATTTATTAACATTCAATTTCCGCCAAAGTAATATGTTGAAATGTTCAATGGTTAAATCTTTAAAATGACCATTTAAGTAATTCATCAAATAAATTTAAAATATAAACAATTAATTAGTTGAGTGACTTGACTAGAAAGTTGAGACACAAATAATCAAAAAATAATTTCCGTTAAAAATTTAAAAGAGCTCAACACAAATTAGAACACAAAACCAACAAAATATAGCTAATAATTACTATGAAATAAGAAAATTTTTAGTAGAAAAAAAAAAAGAAAAAGAAACGTGTGAGTTTGAATTAAAATTTAGATTTAATTATCAACTCAATTGTAATGAACGTTTGATAAATATGGTTCATCGGTATTGTTCAATATTTCATGCAATTTGAGGGTTTTGCATTTACAGTTGTGATGACTAATGTGTATGTGTATTATTTAAGTAATTAAATAGGATGAATAATTGTATATTTAGGTATTGAGTTCAATTGGATTATATATTATATGTATGCATGTTTTTAATTGGAATGTGTTTAATTTTAATTAGGTGGGATAAAATTTAAATTAATTTATTTTCAGATTTTTTTGTAAATGGCTTGCAAAGATTGAAATCTAAACCAAACCCCTTCATAGCGGTTTCGTTCGGTTCAAAATCAAAATGTTAATGGATTCATGTGGACCTCAACCAATGGTTTCCTAAAAGAGGTTTCACTTCGATTTTGCAGTTTAACGATTTCATTATTCAGCACTTCTTATTACCATGCAAATCGGATCATGTCAACATGGAAGACCTGTTTTATACCAAACAGATAGAAATACAAACTTACATTTAGTTTTTTAACATGGGAGATGCTAACCTGTGACTGGCTTCAAATGTTTACAACACGCATTTCTTGTAATATTTCACTGTATTACAAGAAATGTTTTTAATTGGAATGTTTATGTACCAGTAGTTAGCAAGAAGAATGCACTAGTTAATCTTGACTTGTCAATTATCATTCACCAAATTTTCTCATTGTATAGGGCGACAATGGGATAAAATTTAAATTAATTTATCCTTTTATTAATTGGAATGTGTGCAATCTTTTATTTATTAACATTCAATTTCCGCCAAAGTAATATGTTGAAATGTTCAATGGTTAAATCTTTAAAATGACAATTTAAGTAACTCATCAAATAAATTTAAAATATAAACAATTAATTAGTTGAGTGACTTGACTAGAACGTTGAGACACAAATAAACAAAAAATAATTTCCGTTAAAAATTTAAAAGAGCTCAACACAAATTAGAACACAACACCAACAAAATATAGCTAATAATTACTATGAAATAAGAAAATTTTTAGTAGAAAAAAAAAAAAAAAAAGAAACGTGTGAGTTTGAATTAAAATTTAGATTTAATTATCAACTCAATTGTAATGAACGTTTGATAAATATGGTTCATCGGTATTGTTCAATATTTCATGCAATTTGAGGGTTTTGTATTTACAGTTGTGATGACTAGTATGTATGTGTATTATTTAAGTAATTAAATAGGATGAATAATTGTATATTTGGGTATTGAGTTCAATTGGATTATATATTATATGTGTGCATGTTTTTAATTGGAATGTGTTTAATTTTAATTAGGTGGGATAAAATTTAAATTAATTTATTTTCAGATTTTTTTGTAAACGGCTTGCAAAGATTGAAATCTAAACCAAACCCCTTCATAGCAGTTTCGTTTGGTTCAAAATCAAAACGTTAATGGATTCATGTGGACCTCAACCAATGGTGTTTCCTAAAAGGGGTTTCACTTTGATTTTGCAGTTTAGCGATTTCATTATTCAGCCCTTCTTATTACCATGCAAATCGGATCATGTCAACATGGAAGACCTGTTTTATACCAAACAGATAGAAATACAAACTTACATTTAGTTTTTAACATGGGAGATGCTAACCTGTGACTGGCTTCAAATGTTTACAACACGCATTTCTTGTAATATTTCACTGTATTTTCACTGTATTACAAGAAATAACATTTCTTGTAATATTTCACTGTATTACAAGAAATGTTTTTAATTGGAATGTTTATGTACCAGTAGTTAGCAAGAAGAATGCACTAGTTAATCTTGACTTGTCAATTATCATTCACCTAATTTTCTCATTGTATAGGGCGACAAGTAGTTAGCAAGAAGAATGCACTAGTTAATCTTGACTTGTCAATTATCCGGCACCTAATTGTCTCATTGTATAGGGCGACATCACACGAGTCAACCCAACTAACTAAAATCATTCTTTTTCAAATAAAAAGTTTTTTTTTTCCACTATATGTAATAATGATTGGAAAAAAAATCACCATCACTAACTTCCTTATCAGTTGGCCGTCCATGCACTAGAATTACAACTACACATGCCAAATGGTGACATAAAAAAATGAATATGTAAAATCACCACTGAAAATTCAAATAGCAATCTGTGCATCCATTAATAATTATTTTGGACATTCTTCTTTTATCAATTTTGGAAGTGCCAATGTGCTCTTAATAATTGGTATTGAATGAACATTCTTAAGGAGACGACTCTCGTTACCATGAAGTCATCTTTTGGATTTATTCCAATCAGATGACTCAATCTCTCTCTTGGACCGTTCCCGATTTCTTAGAATCAGCGTCTGATGATCTTCATCTCCGTTGTGAAATCTTGATGTCTCGGCTTCATCATTCGATCCGTCTTGCAAGTGAACGGTAATAACCAATTAAGCACTATAATTTTGTAATAAAGGGATTAGAATATGGAGATTCTGTAACTATTCCTGAAAATAAGTTTTATGAACCAGCCCGAAATGACAATCGAGTTAGAGAAGAACCGTATATATCAATTTGAGAAAGGAAAATATAAGATATTGATGCTGCAGAAAAGAATGGTTAGTATTATGATAAGTTCTAGCATAAATGCAGAGTTCAAGAACAAGAGAATCCATAGCAATACACAGAAATATTAATTAACCTCCAAAAGAAAACAAATATATTGTAGAGAAATACAGAAAACACCTAAAAGCTAAGCAAGTTAACCCTCAAGTCATGCTCTATAGAAACTTTTCAGATGCCAAATTAGCAATCCTAGCCTCGACTCATCAGAAACTCAATATTTGAACTGAGTATGATTGTGTATGACACTGTTGCCACGTTCTCTTATGCAGTTCCCGGGCAAAAGGTATTTGTATTTCTCGGCATTATTCAACAAATGCGCGGGAAGATGAACAGCTGAATAGGAATGGGGAATAGATCCCATTTTCCTGATTATGTCCTTGAAGGTATATTCCTCAGGTAACATATCGTACAAATTGGCGCCTCTGCAAATAAGATCCTGAATCCTTTTTGGGCACAGGTGATGAGAGAACCTCACTCAATCATTGTGGCTGTAGGCTTTCATCTTGAATATGAAGTCGCTTATATAGCAGAAACAAAAGCTACAATGCCAACCTGCATCAGACAAGACGTAGTCCGTCTGACGATAATGTGCGTACCTAGTCCTCCCGCTTTGGTACCTATGAACAGAAGCTCTCCAACTTTGATCATCAAATTTAAACTCATACGAGTACAAGTAGTTCTTCAGCTGAAGATGAAGGATCGGAGGGATGTTATCACACCATCTCAAAAGATTTATTGTGTGACTACTAGGAATCTCATCGGCATCGGACATTATGAGCAAATCATCATCCTCGATGCCAGCTATTTTGAGAAGCTGGTCGAGTGCAACCCTCTGATACCCCTCTTCCACAAACGGGTTTTCACCTCTCCTAAATCTTCAACTAATTCTTGCATATGTCAATCGAGGCTCCACGAATTTGAACTCGTCCCAATTTAAATCGAAATAGTAAGGTTTGAGTAAACTACTGAATGTAGAATTTGATTCAAGAAGAGCGAACCATGTAAAGTAAGGATACAGTTCTTTCTATCTGATTGTGAGCATGTCGACTTCATTACTGAATAGAACTGCATCAAACACATGCCTCGGGAAGTCTCGAATTTCCCACCTGTGCAACTTGCAAAGAGCGTCCATTGAGACATTCTCATGATAATAGTGGTTATGGGGACAAAGGGCTTTGAAGGAGATTGCAAAAGCGGCCGAAGGAAGTAACTAATCTTCTGCCCATGAAAATATATGCCAACTATGCCTGCTGGAACAATCAGGAATAAAAAGATAAATGCCTTTATATCCAGACCATGAAGCAACCACCTGAGTCTCGACATGCTTAAGGCTGCGTGGATTCCTGCTGCATGTTGAAACAGATAACTCCTAAGATACTAAGATTAAACATATCAGATAACAAAAGATGAAACCATCCTCAGTCGACTTCAAAAGCAGTTTGCTAAGAACCGAAGTTATCGACCTCTGATTAGCATATTTTGAAACTAAATTGACTTGTCTTCAAATAAAAAACGAATCTTTATTAAGTACTTTCATGGTCATAACAAAGTACTAAAGATACTCCCATCATCAAATTTGATGATATCAAGATCCCAATGAGCAGTAAACGAAAAAAAGAAAGAAAAGAAAAGAAAAATGCCTCTGCAATCAAACAGGAAAATAACAATATATCACTTGGAATACAATAGTACCTTAAAAATTCAGGAGGAGAAGGGCTAAAACCTGAGAAAACAGAGAACAAAAGAAATCTATGAATTTTGCTGCAGCAAGAGTTAAAACACAAATGAACAAACAATTGAAAACACCAGTGGATAAGGTTTTAAGGTTATATATATACACAATCCTGCATTTATAAACACAAACATATGGGACACAGAAACAAACCCACAACTGTTAAATCACAAAATCCTAAAATTTATTAGATACCATTTTTCCAAAACTCAAAAACAATCCAAGAATTTCAATTTTCGACGAAATTAAGCAAATCTTTCACATGTTCTCCATAATAATTAAAAAAAAAAAAAAAAACCCATAAGAATTTAACAAAGAGAGAAGCATATGCCTGACCACAAACATCTTCTGATCTTCACATATATCATCACTGTCATACCCATCCGGCTTCATAAGAAAACAAAATTTCTTTCTTTACTCCTTCAAAATGCCTGATGAGTGTGAAATTTCAGACACTCCACCCACCCCACCCCTCTCCGAAAGTTCTCTCTTCTGCTGCAAACCCTCTGAATATGATCATATATATATGAATACTTGATTAAATCTGCAGAGAGAAAGAGAAAGATATTTTTCTTAATGGAAAAGCCTGATCACAGAAGCGAAATTGATGATGTCCCAAACAGCTAAATTTTCTACATTTGTACTGGGAATCCGCTAATTATATCCCGTTTGGTGGCAATTTCCTCTTTCTGTATAGATACATACATACACCTCTTTCTTTCTTTATCTAGTTCTTCAATTCTATGTGCTCTCTCACTGCCCTTTTCGATTTCAGAGGAGCATGAGAAGGAACAAGAAATTGGTTAAGGAGTGGGAATAGAAATAGTGCTTTTTCGAATTTCCTTTTCAACTTCCCATTTCAACAGGAAATACAATTTTTTAATAAAATAATATTTTTTATCTTATTAAAAAAAATTTCTTATTTTTTAATGATATATTTTTCATCATATCACTATTTAAAATATACTATTTTTTCAATAATATCCATCAAACACACCCTAAACATTAGGTAAAAACAACTTAGATATATAAATAATATTCTGCGGATATCCATTTCTTATTCTCAATATATTTGAAATCAATTCTATTATTATTTTTAAATATATAAAATAATTAGATTATATTTGTTCGACATATTCTATTGAAATCATATCAAACCGTCTCTATTTCCCTTATGTTAGATTATTTTGTACGATGATGATCGAGTAATTTGTTATAAACTAAAATATGTGCATGTAAAGAATTGATACACAATATAACAACAATTATATACTTCACTCTTTTAACATGTTTATTAAACATGTCGCTCTTATCAATTTTGAAAATTTCCTTTTTAAGAAATATATTTACTTAATAGGTGTGAATTCTTAATATTGGATTATGTTGGTGACTTAGTTAATTATTAAATTAGTTTAATACCAAAAAGAGCATTTCACTATAAATTATTGCTAGATATATTGTCTGCTTCAAAATAAAATATTTTATTCTATTTTTTGTAGATAAACATCTAAAATCGAATAACATGTCTCACATAGTCTTCCACATTTATATCTCCATTTATTTTCAATAACAAGGATAAAAGTTTATTGTTGAGATTTTGTGAGGAAAAAAAAAAAAAAGAAAGAAGAAAGTTAAGAAAATTTGGTGGGAAGTTGGGAAAATTTAGAAAGAGATTTGTTTTGTAGTAAAGGCAGCTTCGTAGAAAGTCACAAGAAGAAACTATAGGGTTTGGGACAACATGTTAGATAGCATAAATCAAAATATTCTACTATGATGGGGCCTTTGCATTATATAGATAGTGACTAGTCATATGTTTGTTGATGGAAAAAGTCTCAAGTATAGAAATATTTTTACAGATTTTTTACCCACGGTGACGTGACGAAATGTGATTCGTCTGTTTTGTTTTTATTTTTTATCTTCCAATGAATTGCACGCCAAGTATTATCTGTAAATATTTTCTGTCAAATTCGTCTGTACTCATAGCACAATTCTTTGTTGATTGCCAAATTGAAGAAATAAAAAATAATAATGAGAAACTAGAATTATTATAATATGAAGTTATGTTACATAAAAATATTGAGAGAGATTAGTTTAAATTTACGTTTGTTCACATAGTTTAAATTATCTATCAATTAATTGATTGTTATGTCACTGGTGTTTAGTGTAAATTAAGCATCCGTACATTGTAGACGTAAAAATGCTAAGCATCAAAGTTTAGTAAATTATTTCTTTATCTATATATAGTATATGTTAAAAGTATATTTCTTTTAGCCCCTAGGGCACATCTCCAAGTAGTAAAAGGGGAAGGTGGAAAAATTTCAACTTTACTTGAGGCTGCCGCGTCAAGGGTTCGAATCATGAAATATGGATTTGGCCCTTAAGTAAGTGCAAAATACAAGCAGCATTCCACCCGTACCCTTGAAGACATAACCTGCAATTTACCTCTTTCACCAAGGCCTAGGACAGGGTAGGTGGGGGCCGTCAAGGATGCGGCTCATCCTTTAAAAATATATTTCTTTCGTATAAGCTGGAAAATAAGATTTGTTACATTAAAAATTATTCGAAAAATGAGTCAGATGATTAGGGTGTTACAGAGGTACAAATATGATTGAAATTTCTCAGTGCACCTAATGATTCTTGTTGTCAATAACCTTGTACAAAAGCAAAATCTATTCAGATTTTAAAAAATGGCATTTTTATCCCTTATTTTATTTTATTTTCCTTTCTATTTTACATTTTTTTTATTTAGTGCGTGTTTGAATAAAGTATTTTTTCTTTACAAAAAAAGTTATTCAAACTTCAATTTTTACCACACAATTCAATGAACCCACAATCTTTATCCATCTTCACACCCATAAATTTCATGAGATACCAACTATTAACTTTTAGAAACATGACAAAGCCCTATAGAGACAATAACCAAATAATTCTTTTACGAGCCTTGTCAGTAACATGTCATATACAAGTTATTTGGTTAAAGGTAATGCAGTGGATGGTTGACAATGTATTAACATTAGAAGGAAAATTTTTTATGTTATAAAATAAACTAATATATACGCCTATGGATGTCGGTCTTCTCTCGCCGTTGCATCTCTGCTAAGAAGTAAGAATAATAAAGATTCTAGAAAAGTAAGCATTGTAGCTAGTGGCGGAGCCAGCAACCGACGAAGTAGCGCGATCATGTGTGCCGGCTCCGTTGGAGTACGTTCGCCATTGGTGGAATTTACAGTGGCCGCCGATGGAAAAAGCGGAAGGAAGATGAAACACTGACATAGATAGATTTGGTCGTTTTAGTTTGGGCCATTTTTTTTGTTTAAGTTTTGAGCTTTTTTCGACCTCTTATTTTTTAAATAAAATCAGGTCCAAATTTGAATTCCATTAACATTTACCCACCATTACAAGAACATTTTTTTAATTGAAAAATCAATTACATTTGAAAATCCTTGTTGGCTGGTTCTTCCCTACGATTGTGAACAATGTTGACCTCAAAAAGTGCTGTCAACAAATGCAGGACTCACTCGTGCATGTGTAAACTATATCCAATACGCAAAGACGAATCAATGGTTGGGATCACTCCACAATTGGACGTGGGAGAAACTCAACGGCACGAGACGTTTCCGTTCAGGTTTTCGCAAGATATACAAAACACGATTGCACAATAATAACCAATCGCAATGAAGTCAGGATGCCACAAAAAAATTTAACAAGTTTTGAATGGAGCGGTGGCAAACGTATGTGTCCACTTGTGATGTAGTGGATCTTACTGCAACTTTGGTAAGCCAAAGTGCTAGGGCCTTTGGGATGGCCCTTGAATGTCAGGAAGTTCTAGTTGACATTCAACGAAGGAACAGAGCCTTGATGGAAAAACTTGCTACTGCCGAGGTTGAAATAAAGAAGGTGAATTCTGGGGCTGAGCTGATGAGAGCCAAGCAGGTTGAGGATGAGACAAAGATGAATTCTGCACTGGCTGAGATAGAGGCTCTAAAAAAGGAGGTCTATGAATCCCAACGTGAAGTAGCATCATTAACTAAGAAGGTGGAGACCTCCGACCACCACTAAAAAATAACTGCAGAGGCTCTAGAGAAGAAAAATTTGGAGCTCTCGGATGTAGGGATGCCAACCAGTTTATGGAAGAACAAGTATGATATTATGCGACAGAGTAAAGAGGGCTGAAGTCGAGGCTCAACAGGCAGGGGAGGAGGCGA